ACTTGTGAGAACATCCGCCATTTTTTACGTTGCACTCATTGACATCTGCAGAGTAGGACAACACAGCATTAATTGCGTTGGATTTCTTCAATTTTCCTACCGATGTGTCGCAAGCTGTTTCACCGAAATGCATTGGGAGTACAGTAGTTTGCTTAGGTATGATAGAGTAATACAAAATAAAAGTGTAGAATGTTTAGAAGTTTAGAAAAACTTAAGTGAAGATACAAAGTTCAACTCTGAAAATGATTAAAGCTGAACACTTAAAATTTTAAACGAAACTACATGTAACGGATTGTCGTACACAAGCATTTTTCAGCAGATCTCCCATACTTTCTTCCTCGTTTCAGTTTTCAGTTTACAAAATACCGTGATAGCTTTACATTTCAAAAATTGATGCTGTCAGAGAGACATGGAAAAAGGAATTTAACATCTTAAAATCCATCTTGTTTCTTATCTAAGGAAACATACTGAAGATGAATTCCCAAAAGTTCATGCCCCTACCTTTTCCACTGGTGGGCGATTGACTCAAGGTAAACACCAAAGTTATCAACAAGGAAACACCCGAGATTGACATGATAGAAGGCGAAAGGACGGAGCTGTACAATGCAGTCTATGTCCTCCGGTAAAGAGCAAAAAAAGTATATGAGGGTTCCACGAATTTCGGTTAGACTTAAAGGCAATCAGTTAACGCTCAACTAAATAGGGTGTTTTTTATTTAAATCGGCGAAGGATCGCAAATTGCAGTCTGCTTATTTGACAATTCACGAAAGACAACAGTGCATATTTGATCACAAAAGATAATCATTAGCACCAGAAGGGAAAATGATGTGAAATAAAAGAACGCATACCAACGTACTAGTGTAAGTAAAAAGCTGTTGATTAATCTAAATTCTTTTTGCTGAGCATCATGCACATTTTAATTCATTTGTTAACGATAAATTTCTTTTTTGTGAAGGAGTTGACACTCATTACGTAACTTTCTTTTTAAATTATGCAACTCTTAGTTGAAAGAAGTCAACTACAATGAAATCATAAACAACAGCTTCGGAAACTCTCTAATTTTTACAAACTTTCATATTGGCTGTATGAAAATCGGAAAAAATGACAACAGCATATCTTAGCACGCATTGTGGACAAATATGTTATTACAGTGTTCTAATTGGTCAACTGTCGGGGCTAATGAACCAGACAAAGAAAAAGTTACATCATCCCTGTTGTCGTTCATTCCACCATTTCACTAACAACTAGGACAATAACGTCCTATGGGGAAAATTTTTCAAGCGGCCGATGTACAGTTTGACGACTTTATTCCTTTGACAACCTGTTAGTTTACTAAAAAAAACCAAAAAACAAACAGACGTGCTTGGCTCTTTTGATGACGATATCCCTATGAACCAATGAAAAGCTGAGAGAAAAAAATGTTTTCTCTGTATATAAAATGGCCATGATGTCGAGCTTAAATTTTCATTTTTGAAGCCAGTCGAGTTCTGAGGCTGTGCGTTTTGAAACATGAGGGTTGTTGCGGTAATAACGTTGATTTTCGGCTGTACCAACCTTGTTAATGGTTACGTGGAGTCCCTCGATGGTCCTACTGCCACTGAAATGGGACAAAACAGTGATTTTCTTCATGGAAAAACATTCATAGAAGACGAATCGTCTGGTGGTTAGTATATTTGTTAACAAGATACAAAAAATGACTAACATGATTCTTCGCTTTTCAAGATCATTTATTTCTTTATTATTATTTTTTTATCAATCTACTTCGCGCGTCTGTCTTTTTCGCTTAGCCGTTGTAAAGCATTCTACAGTTTCCTCTTGTATTTGCGGCTAAGTTACATAACACGGAGACTTTCTTGATGAAGTAAGAGATAAGAAGAAGACATTTGAAATTGCCTGTTTACGTTATGTATCTCGTGTTGGTTGAAAATTTTCTTTAGTTCCCCCAATCATCCCGTGTATCCCCAATCCCTGCAAGAGAGGAGCAAAATGTCTGCCGATCCCTGAGAATGATTTCACTTGTAAATGCCCGGCGGGCACCACCGGAAAAACTTGCAATAAAGGTAAGCAAGCTGCTTGAAGATAAATATCATCTTTCACATGTTCTATTCATTTGAATGAGGTGGTTGTCAGTACCATATAATCGTGTCCTTGTGTGAAGGTCACGTGAAAGATCCTTGGATGAATGTCAAGTATATTTCATAAATATGACGTATTTGAATAAAATGGGGTATTTTTGTGGTTTTTCCTCTGTTTTGTTGACCTGTATCGTTTTTCTGTTACGCGAGATCCCCCAACTGATTTCAAGATAAAGTTAAAACGAAAAATTGTCACCAAACGACATCTGGACACTGTTTGCGTACAGCGCGCGTAATATTCATTTTAGTTGAACTGTTGTTACAGATGTCGACGAATGTGCAAACAACAATGGCGGATGCTCACACGATTGCAGCAATACAGATGGAAGTTATGAATGTCTTTGTCCTGATGCAGAGCTGTCATTAGCTGATGATAAACATACTTGTGAAGGTAAATTGCAACCGGAAAAGCCCGGAAAGAACTTAAAAATCCAATTCAAAGCATAGAAATACGATAAGACGAGTATATCTACAAACTATATTTCATTTGAAATAGATTTAACTGTTTTTCGGCTTTCTCAAACTCAATGGGAATAAAAAAAGTAATTCTTTCAAAAGAAATTATTTCGGAAAATGTGTTTCGAAAAATATATTCCCTTGCTATCAAAGTTAACAGAAAATAAGGTTTCAGCCTTTGTATTTATTCCTAACTCTTTGAAGTTATCATAAAAGTCCATATAATGACAAAAATTCATCTCGTTTATTTCTGAAAGCCCGAGGAGTTACCATCCAATGTCTGCAAAACCATATGTCGCACCATTACTAAAGAAGGCAAAGTAAAAACAAGTAAATTATCTGAAGCGTGGTAAACTGCAAGCGACCAAGTCGCAAATGGTATTAATTTTGCCTCTGATGGTAGATGGTAGCAAAGAATGAAATAAAACCAGTATAAACCAAGCTTGCTTGCGGCAATGGATTGAAAAATTATTGTTTACAAATAACAGTTTATCCTTTTTCTAGCTCAAGGAGTCACTGTGGATTGTCGTCAAAATGACATGTCCATTAGTATCCCCAAGCCCATACTCAAAGGAATGGACAAGGAACATCTTCGCCTCCTGGACCCGAAGTGTGGAGCAACAGAGACTAAAACGCATTTTGGTCTCAAAACGCCGCTGACTGGCTGTGGCACTAAAAGAAGGCACACCAAGGCCGCCATTGTGTACAGTAACAAGGTCCTGGAGATTCCACTGAAAAAATCTGATCTCATCACACGCGTCAGAGAGATTGAGATCCCATTCAGTTGCTATTATTCCAACAGCAGATTGGCTACGGCTGTTGGATTAAAACCAAATAACAGAAAACTGGTCTTCATGGAAAAAGGGAAGGGAAAATTTACAGTTGTCTTGGAGATATTTCACAGTCAAGGGTAATGTTAAAGGTCCTTACGAGTTTCTTAACTCCCTTAAAATAACTAATAACGAGGAGCCAATGAGATTTAACTACTCTCACTACGGGAGAATAACTGCAACCCTGTAGTTTTGTTTGAACATCTGCTTATTTCTTGAGGTGGTGGCTAAGATCACTTAGTGTGCGGAGTAAAGGTTATCAACATTTGAGCAGTTATCAACTCCGTTTACCTGCTTTCATTCCTCTTCTATTGGTTCTTGTGTTCTATGCTGAAAATCATTGCAAACGATGATTTTAATACCAGGTTCTAGAGATCTTTAAATACCGTAATTCGTTCATGGCAACAAAAAGACCAAACTTCAACTTGCATTTCTTGTTCGATCAGCACATTGACAAAGTAAAATGACTCAAGGGATCTTTTCTGTATTTAAGCTTTCCTTAAAAAATATAATAATGCAAAATAGAATTCGTCTATTTATAGACAAGTTATTGAGTTTAAGCAAAAAAAGCTTCTACATGTATGATTTTATTTATCTTTTTTTTTTGCAGATTCACCACAGCGTACGAATCCGATGATTTTCCTATATCTTTGAAACTCCGCCAAAGTATGTTCGTACAAGGAAGAGTCGACAGCAAGGATAAAAAGCTATCAATTCTGCTTAAAAAGTGTTTTGCCACGCCCACTGCTAACGAGAATGATGCCACAAAACATGATATCATTTCTGATGGGTAATCCTGTTACATCAGTATCTCTCTCTTTTTTTTGTCCTAGAAACTCTTTTGTCAATTTTACATAGCATCGACATTGATATTTCCCACAAATGGAAAATAGGTCCAAGGTACGTGCACCTGGTTACTTTAATTATTTATCTTTTTTTTTCATCTTGCAGCTGTGCTGTCGACGATACAGTCCAACAGCTTCGCTCCCCAGTAGGCAAATCTCGTTTCAGCCTCGAAGCCTTTCAGTTCGTCAAGCAGCCCTTCGTTTTTATACACTGTCACGTGGTTATCTGCAACGCATCTGACCTTAAGTCGAGGTGTGCCCGAGGATGTGAATCGGGTGGCCGAGTGAGACGCGAGCTTGGAGAACAAAAGGAGTATTCGCTGGCACAAGGACCAATAACACTAGACTATCAGAATGCTTATGAACAAGAAGATGAAAAGAATACTAATGATAAACCTGCCAAAGAAGGTAATTTGAGTAAGCTCACCACTATCTTTACTGATTTAATGGTTGGCAGTAGTACAAGCATTCTTACAGATGGAAATTAAGATCAAACTAAATCCTCTTGCTTCTAGTTTTTTGTAAAATGGGTAATATGTAATATCCAGGGCAAGTTTCATGATCACTTTGATCTAAATTTATGAAAGAAAAGCTCGATTCGAGCTCACAACCAGCCCAAGATATCAGCTCAAGATTCGGAATGATCACACCAATAACAACAACAACAAATTTAAGAACCTTTAGCTCAATAAATGATTAAAATGAAGATTCATAATTTTTCTTTTATCACTGTGATGACATTTAAATGAACGACATCATTTGTTTTACTTTGTGGGATCACCTTCTTTCTTTTATTTTATGACAACTCCAATTTAGCTTTAGTTTTATTTTGTTTTGTTTTTTGTGCGTCAAATTTTAAGTAACAACTGTGAAATTTCTTTTGACTTTTCAGCGGACATGAACATCCCAATCCTTACTGCTCTGGCCGCCTTTACAGCTCTCACTGTGCTCGGTTTAGCGTTCACAGCAAGGAGAAGAATGTTAAAATAACTCTGTCAATTTCAGTGCAAAAAAGAAATGGAAAATTCCTGTAAAAGCTTCAGTTTACCGAATAAAAAACTGTTGTTGAACTATTCCATGGTGTTTTTCGTCTTCAAACTTCTTTGCTGTGGGCGATAATATATATTTCTGCGTCGCACTTGCAAACCAATCCTCACATTTAAATCTACTGAAGCACGCTTTAGTATACTATTAAACCACAGGAACGCTCTTTTTATCTCAAATAATAAATGTTCAACTCTTTGTTTACAAATTCCAGATTATGAAAACTCCGTAGGTCCAATAGAAAGAGAACATTTTTTTCTCACTGAAGTTGAACTGGTCCTGTTGACCTGCATAGTTAAAGAAAGTTGAAACTCTCGCCTCTTTCGTACCCTGACAGTCTTATCAACTTGCCGGGGTAAACCTCGCGATAGCACACGCAGAATGATAGGACAACCTGATAAAAGTGTTTGCCGCTGAACGTACCTGAATAAGAGAAAATTGCGAAAATATTCTTTTCCCCTTATAAACAGTTTGCTTAGCTAAAGCTCCATTCTGGAATTTACAATAGATGGTAACAAAAATTTGGTATACATTAATTTAAACCGCTCTCGCCTATTGATCAGAAGTCAATTGAGGTGGACGTAATATTTGCTCGTCATGACAGGGTTTGCATTTTGGCAGTTAAAGGGGAATTTTCTCAAAACGATTCAATTCTTGGTAAAGCGTGGGAATAATACAGCCTTGGCTAAAAAGGACCGCTCTTTACCTTGTACCTGCTAAGCAAGTGCAGGGTTTCATTCTTTACTTTACAGTCTCGCTACTACGATATGCAAATTACGTAATCACCATAGTTTATCATACGTCAAAAGCTCTCTTGATTTGTCTATTGTGTTTTAAGGACAGGTGCTGACATGGAAATTGGGCTTTTAACAAGAATAGATTTACTCGTGACCAGAGAGCCAGAAAAGCGTATCTTTCAGCCTAAGAAAAACACAAATTTGAGCAAAAAAGACGTTATTTCGCACAAATAGATTTACACTTCGTTCATCCAGTCATTTTCCCATTATTTCTCTTTCAACATATTTTTGATAAAATTTTTCAATATTATCTAATAAAAATCTTTATTTTCCAATGCCGGACATTTGTGTAATTTATATCATTTAATATAAAACTGGCGTAGGCAAACCGCTGGAGTAGGAGGACTGGGCGAAAATAAACTACCACGGTGCAGTAATTAAGGTAAACCTATCTGTAACCAGGTTAGGTCTAAATTATTCTTCTTAATTTTTTTTTCTCAGTTCTTTAGCGGGTGGTATTCGACAACTCTATAACCAGTCTTAAGGCTTTGTAACACCTTAGAAAAAGCACTCGAAAAGTGTTATGGCTGGAGATATGAGTGTTGTTTGGTAACTAACAGCACCAAAGTTCAACTGCTCTTCACAGAGTTTTGTTGCGCTCACTCAAACTTGTATGTGGGTTACCGGCCACATAAATGCAAATTCCGAAAAAATGTTTTAATAGATATAAGCCGAAAGAATTTGATTTATTTATTGCATATTTTTCTCTTTTTTCTAACTACACAGTGGACAATTTTGATCGAAACTAAGAACTGAAAAAACAGCAAACGCAAGCAAAAATTTTGTACAGACTTTTTTTAACAAACAATTCCCTAATGGAAAAGAATAAAAAATCACATAGCTAATTGCGTCGTATTCTTTTATAATTTCATCTCTTTAGTTTGATAAGAAAATTAACCGCTGAAAAATTAAGGACGAATAAAGAAGTTTTGATACATGAATGATTTCAGTGGATGTCGACCGTCAAATTTACGCCACTTTCAGTATCACCTTGTGTTACTAGCTTTTCCATGCTATTCATTACTCGTGAGGGAATTACATCATTCTTTTATTTCTCCAACGCTGTGAACTCATAGTTTTGTTTTGACCTGGAAATTACGCATGCAGACAATTGTGAGAAAGAGCATTTTTCGCAGTTTTCGGTCATTTCAAAGCGAAAAAACCTTTTCTGTTGGATGAAACACGCCTTTCTGAACAATAAAAAGTAGCAAGAAAATGCCCTTCTGTGCCTTGTAGAAAAAATAAGATGTCCTCGCAATGATTAAACAAGGAGTCAAACCCCCTCAAAAGAGACGAGAAATCTGGAAATTTATCGTCTTTAGAGAGGACCATGACGTTCAATTTCGTAACTGTTTTGATGCTTTGCAACGCTCTCTTCGTGAATGGCAAAGGTCTCCCACAAACAGAAAAAGATCGGATTGATACTGCTGACCTGCTTAAGCAACTGCAAGAACCTGAAGATGATTATTTCCCTGGAAAAAGTGATAACCGTTTACCTCATGAAATGTTCCTGGAGGACTCTTCTGATGGTAAGAGCACTACCAAGAGTCACTTTCTTTATCTCTTGGGCAAACTTTCAGGAGTCAGCACCACTCTTAGTTCCATTATTTCTTAATCATTTCGATTTGCGTAACCAACTGATCGTTTGTCCCATCATATCTTACAACAACAACAAAACAAAATAGAATAGCTTTCCTCGTGATATAAATTACGTTCAATATCACGTTAAATTATTCAACCGTTAACTTTTATTGCTCATGTGTACTAGCTTTATATTTCAGGCTCAGCTACATAAACTGATCAATGCGGCTACAAAAAACGAAGGAATGATCGTCATATTGTCTTGTTTTTGTCTTGAGCGCTTGTTGGAACAATTGAAATGACCTCGGATTTCAACTTGTCTCCCACGATTTGAGAGGCTAAGGTTGTTTTATATAATTAATGTCCTCGGTGACAATTAAAGATTTGTGGTTGATGATCAGATTGCAAATAAAAACTTCGGTTGTTTGACTTCTTGCACTTTCTTAGAAGGATATTCTTAATTACGTGCATTTCGATTGAGTATCGTAAAACTAAAACCAAACATGCTACTTGTAATGGCCAATCAGAAGAAAGTAAAATAGCTTTAGGAGCCAATGAGAACTAAACTGCCGACAGCGCGGGATAACGCATGCGAGCAAGTCGTGATTTGTTTCACTTTTGAATCTTATTGGTTGAGAGAGTGGACTAATCACAGAGCGAAGTAAAGTAAAGCCAAAGGAATCCCGGATTATTCTCGAAACTGGATTGAAAAAAAGAAGACAAAGTTGACAAAAAACTGAATTATCTGAAGCGTGGTAAACTGCAAGCGACCAGGTCGCGAATGGTATTAACTTTGCCTCTGATCAGTTAAGATGATTGCGAAGTATAAAGTACGCACTACCAGTATAAAGCAAGCTTGCTTGCAGCAATCGATTGAAAAATTATTAAACGAATATCTAAGCGATCCTCGCAGTTATGAACACTACTCGATGCTTGAGTAGTAGTGAAAATAAGGCCTGAAAAAAATCCGGCCTCCACTACTTCAATAGTGTTCATAACTGCGAGGATCCCTTACATATTTGTTTCTTCAACCGAAGTTCACTTCAATAATTTTCATATATTTACAGTCATTCATTCACCACTTCGAGGGTTTATTTGGAAACAAAATAATAACCAGCTTCCAGTTGGCTTGTTAGCACAGTTGTTAGAGCACTGTACCTGCATTTTTTTTTCAGGCCTTGTTTTCACTTCTACTTAAGTAATGTTCATAACTGCGAGGATCGCTTACATATTCGTTTCCTCAACCGCAGTTCACAATTCTAGAATTTCTTATATTTACCGTCATTTGGACAATTATTGTTTACAATTTTCAAAATTTATTATTTTTCTAGCTCAAGGAATCACTGTGTATTGTCGTCAAAATGACATGTCCATTACTATCCCTAAGCCCATACTCAAAGGAGTGGACAAGGAACATCTTCGCCTCCTGGATCCGAGCTGTAAGGCGACAGAAACTCCCAAGTATTTCAGTCTCCAAACGCCACTGACTGGATGCAAGAGTTCTCGCAGATCATCCAAATCTGCCATTGTTTACAGTAATACGGTTCTAGAGATTCCCCTGAAAAACTCAGATATTATCACACGCATCAGAGAAATCGAGATCCCCTTTAGCTGTTACTATTCCAACAGTGAAATCGCTGCAGCCGTTGGTTTCAAACCAAAGAGCAGAAAACTAGTCTTCTTGGAAAAAGGGAAAGGAAATTTTACGGTGCTTTTGGAATTTTACCATAGTAAAAGGTACGAAAGAATAAGCGTATCAGTGTAGGTTTGTAGTGGTTTGATGATCGATCACTTATATTATCTCGTCTCGGGTGGCTAAAGCTTTTTATCGATCTAAAGTGAATATGGAACAAGGGCTAAATAAATTTTAACCCTTGAAAAATAACAAATATTAAAAGTTTTTTTCTTAAAATAATTTCACCAATCTCTTTTAGATACATCAAGCCATACGGTCCTAAAGATTTTCCAATACCTTACAAACTTCGCCAGCAAATGTACTTACAAGGGAAAGTAGATAGCAAAGATAAGCGGCTGTCAATCATGTTTGAAAATTGTGTCGCCATACCCACTCCTGACGAAAAGAACGCTGTAGGACTCCAAATTTTATCTAATGGGTAAGTGATTAATTTCTTCACATCTTTCATCAAAACCATTACTTTATTGTATGGAAAAATACTGAGATTATGAAGGAAAGTCAATTGAGACAGAGTGCATTTTAGTTGATTTGTTTTTTGTTCTTCTCTTGGTAACAACAATTTATTGTCGTGAAGAGAGAGGCTACTTTACTATTTATTCAGCCCAGAAATTAAACTAGGAAAGTAGCGACAGCCCATCAAACAGAGAAACAAAGGAGCCGGTCAGAACTCCAGGTAGACAAATGGAGCTCGATACGAACAAAAGCATCAACAAACTTTATTTGACTCCTTTTTTATTAATAACATTTATGGATATATTAGTGATATAAATGAAAAAATAACACGCTTCTGATTGGCTGAAAACGAGTCCATTTTCCATGTAGCGCGCGTGCAAATTGTAAATTGCGCGCGCTGTTAAAATTTTGTCTGTCTTGACTATCTGTGCTGCTCTTTTTCACTTAAATTATAGATAAGTAATAACGTTGTTTCTCGTGAAATTTGGAGCTAATAGGAACCTGTTAATTTTTCAAAGACTATGAATTGTACTCGCCCTACGGGCTCGTGTAGTGAAGGAACGGGAAATGCTCGTGTTTGAGACTAGCCCTTCGTTAGAGCTTTGAAGAAGGGCTGACGCTCGAAACTTCACCCATTTAAATCTTTACGGTGACCAAGTTATGTTTTAACTCAGTTTTAACCATTAAATTACCTGCTATACTCTCCCACCGACGCAGCACCACAGTTTCTTTAGAAACTTACCCCCTTTATTCGTTAGTTCCCATTAGCTAAGAAAAAGACCTGTGCAAGGCTGAGAAGAGTCAAACGAGATAAAATTTATCTCTGTGACCTTGTGTGTGGTAAAAAACATTTATTTTTTTTTTATTTCCTCTCTCTGCAGTTGCGCCGTTGATGATACCGTTCGATTTCATCCCGCTCCCACAGGTTATTCTCGCTTCAGCATGGAAGCCTTCCAATTTGTTAAGCATCCCTTCGTGTTTATTCACTGCCATGTGGTGATCTGCGACGCATCAGATTCTCAGTCAAGATGCGCCCGAGGTTGCGTGCCAAGTCCGCGGCGAGAGCGGCGCGGGATCGAAGAAAAACGAGTCTATTCGTTAGTTCAAGGACCACTAACGATCGATGACTCTTCGGAAGAATTTGAACCATCGAATGACGAGACGGCGCAAAACCCACCGGAGATTGAGGGTGAGTAGAAGTTAAACGAGTAAAAACCCTTCGCTCTTGACTTCAAAACGATTTAAGTTTACAGGTGAAAACCTGGATAAAGATACGAACTTGTGATGTAAGATGAACGTGCTAGTTCCCATTTAGAGGAAGGATATATTTTGACTTGTTCATAGATTAATTAGTGGTGATTAAAGCCATAAATCTTTTTTTTCCTCGATCAGTTGTCACATATCACCATGTTATGAGACAAGGATCTCGCTTTCATTACGAATAAATAAATTGCGTTCTTCTTTATTTCGGTGTGCACATGAAAAATCGAAAAAAAAAATCTCGTTAATATCCGCGTTACAAGTTATTGATTACAATTGGTTATTGCGTACAAGTTATTGATTTCTGAAAGAAAAATTCTTTAACGCCCAAGAGAACATAAATTAGAAAAAGCCGATAAAAACAGGAAGTTGAATGATTAATTTTAATTTTCCCATCAAATTAGAATAGTGTGAATATTATATAGAAATTAACCGTTTTTTTGGGCTTACAAACACAACTACGGTTCAGTCGATTAAAAACAGGGATAATTAAGGATGAAAGAGACTGTCGCGCACTGCAGAAGACGAAGTTTTTGTTGATAAAAAGAATATACTTAGACTTTTTAAGATGTGTAGACTATTATGTGTCTCCATTGTAACAGAGGTTAAGAAGCTTTAAACTATCATCATTTCTATTTCATTTCAGTTGAAGTCAATATGCCGATTGTGGCTACAGTGGCCGCTGCGACAGCTTTTACTGTGTTCGGTGTCGTTTTTGTGGCTTTGAGAAGCAGACCACACCAGAATTGACGACTGGCAGCGTAATTCTCGCTAAACTTGATAAAAATTAATAAAATGTTTCTTAAAACCTTTGTGATTTGTATCACGGTAGTACATAGAAATGCAAAACTTTGAGCCGTACATTTGAGAGAATTTCTCTACGATATCTTCCCGCATTAATCCTCTGTCATACAAATTTTTATGATGCTAGTTTAGAGAATTTGGTGTTGGATCGATTAATAAATAAATCCCCTAATTGATATTTTTTTAATAATTTTTTAATAATATACAAGCAAAAAATTGTTCGCTTCTGATAGACTGAAAACGATTGCATTTTTCATGTAACAAGTGCAAAGTTGTGACAAGAACGCAACTTATAACACGAATGCAAATTATAGATAGCACGCGCGCGCTGTCGAAACTTTTTCTGTCTTGACTTTACTGCGATGCCTTTTTCATGAAAATTTTTAATAAGTATTGACATGAGTTCTCGTGCAATTGGTTTAAATAAGCGCTTGTAAATTTTTCAAGGATTGAAAATTACACTCGTCCTAAGGATTCGTGCAATTTTGTTGTCTTCAAAAATTTACTCGTGCTTACTAACACCATGTTGCACTCGAAAACATGTTGTTACCCATACTTAATCTCATCACATATATGCATGATATTGTATAGATATTCCAAAGAGAAGTTCTGTCTTCGTAATTCATGGAGGGTTAAAGAAAAGAAAGCATCATTTTTTTTATCTCTGGCAATAGTTGCTCACACTCTACGTATTGCTTTCTCCTGACAATTTTTTTGTTGTTCTCTTTCCTTCACTTGTTTTAGGATCCCTTTCACAAAATAGTAGTCTTGGTGGGAGAGAAAACCTAATGAAACAAATGATCGCTCGTTTCTAGAATAATCATGCATCTTCCTGCGTTGTCACTGTCGTTAAAAGTACTTTAAACATTATTCCAGCATATTAGTTCCTTCATAGTGAATATTAGTTCCGGTACTGAAGTAAATTTTTAATCACCTAAAAAAATGAAAAAACAAAGCACTTCTTAAAACAGAAACAATATGTTTCGCTGAAGATCTTCTAGCCCTCATGGGCGAAAAGGAATAAAACTGCATAATTAACCTTAAAAAAGGCCGCTACGTGACAAGCTAATACACTAGTGTAATTAAATATTATCAACTGAGTTGGTAACGTAAATTGGACATCGTAGAGAGTTTTAAAGCTGACATTTCGAGCGTTTGCCCTTCGTCAGAGCGAATGGCTAAGGGTTTCGAAATGTCAGCTTTAAGACTCTCTAAGGTGGCCAATTTACGTTATCAACTCAGTTGAATATAATTAATTACCCTTTTATACCCTCATAATGACGCAGCACCACTGTTTTTTTCGAAAACAACCCCCTTAATACACTGGAGGTTGATTGTTGACTTCAAGTGGATTCAAGGGTTAGGATCAGCGATTGTGTCATTGTAGTGTATAGAAATGTAATTCTTTGAGGTGCGCTTGAGAATCTCATTACGATTTCTTTACAAATTCAAGAAGATTAATGCATCCTGTGGTTCTCCTCCTATCTTTGACAATCTGTACATTGCTTTTTTCATCTTCTCTTCGATATATTTTTTGTTCCCTTCAATATAATGGATATTGATAGCTTCGGTGAGAGAGAAAACTTAATGAGATATATAATGGCTCGTTTCTAGAATATTACTGCACCTTCAAGCATTATCACTATCGCTAAAAGTATTTTTAATCATTATTCAAGCTTATTAATTCTTTAAGACACATATTATTATATCGTACCAGCGTCTTCGATAATTGAAAGGAAATGACAACTAAAATAACTCATTCACGCAGATAAGTCGCAACAGCTGCCAATAGCTAAACCTATCCTTCCCTGATGGGGACGTAGGCGGGATACACGAACGAAAATTAAATTTAAATATAACAGCGCTTTTTTGGGAATAACTTGTACTTTAAGCATACTTTGAGAAATTTGAATAAATTTTCCAATGAAAAAAAAAACAATGTGTATTGCTGCACAGTTGCACTGTCAAATCTAAAGATCTAATCGTTAGCAAAACAAATAGAACTATATAATTAGGCGTGATAAAGCTGCTACGTGACAGTATTAGTTGTTAACTTGAAGGGTAGGAGGAATTAATTACTTTACTTGAATAGCAAAATTTTTTTTTTTAAAAGGGCCTGATGTTAAACGTGACTGAAAGCTTCCTTCTGCACCTATCCGAAGCGAAATATTTCACAAACCATTTTTCTCACCATTTCACGAAGCTCGCGGTATCGCCAACAATAAATGAGTGGGTTTAGGGAGGAATTTAGTAGCACAAAAAACAAGGAAGCGCGATTAGCAACCAGAAATGTCATTTTAAATCTGTCAACTAACATCAAAACTGAACAGGCAAAATTTGGAACGTAGCAAACCATTAAGACAATGTAGACAAGCAACGCGCTGATGGCGGATTTCTTTTCCCGAAGAACTTTCACGACGTGGTCATTTTGCAATTGGCACTGGGTCTGAATTTGATTCCTGTGATATCTTGCAATTTTGTAAATATAGATGTATATTGCAGTAGATACGGCAAGTCCATATAGCTGAGCTGCAACAACAACTGCAAGGTTATAACGTGGTATTGAGATAAATGCACTTGCAATAACAAAACTTATCAACCACACGGTCATCAGGACGATCCATACCCGCTTTGAAGTGACAAGTCCTTGGTATCGTAGATGGAGAGAGATGGCCAGAAATCTATCTACAGCAATTGCGCTTATGGTGAAGAACGATGCCGAGACCATAGTTAATATAAGGAACATAAAGAGACTTATAGTTGCTGGGCAAAGCATGTGAACTGTTTGGTTGTGGTTTCCATTTGCTTCCTTGTACAAGACGATCGCAATAATTGCACCTAACATTAACTGCACAATTGATCCTACTGCCAAGTCGGAGACGGCAAGGTTTATGAACAACTTTCTTAAAGTTTCGGGCAATGACGACGCTTTCCACAGAGCACGGATAACAAGTAGGTTTCCAAGAGTTGCAATGAAAGAAAACGCGAAAGTTAAGACGCAATAAGATAACATAAAAGTCCTGTGATAACGAACAAGTCTCTCGTATTCTTCCAGTTTCTCTCTGCAGAGGTCGGTAACCATATTGAATGGTTACCGACTGAATGAATGGTTATTCTCACTTGTTTTTCAATAAATCATATCCAGTTTTTGACGTTCTGTTCAAGGCTGTATTATGAAAATTTTCATGGCGAACGGTAATTATCAAGAACCGATTTTATAAACGCTTTTCAAAGCAACAAAATTTTTGACATTGAACTATTATCCGCGGAAGAGTTTTTTTCTTAAACAAATTAGGCAGATTTAGAAGTAGTACCTGCTCTTTTCGGTGGCTTCGTCAAATAAAATGTATGAAGGAACAAAGTATAATGTTGACCAACCTCTAGATGGATGAAACACAAAAGCAAGTAGTTAAATTAAAGCTGTTTGTTTTATGCTAATAACTCATTTCGATCTTCCAATATTATAAGACTACATTTAATACATGCAAGCTGTTATCCATGGGTAAAATAAACACAGTTAGATGAATATTTTCAAATTAGAGCTGATTAGATGCACCATAAAACAAGTTTTTCTCCAGCGATTTTCGACAAATGAATTTTATACCTCGTCTGATTTTCCCGTGAAATCTTCGTAAACCTAACGCGTAAACAATTACTTGGACAAATATTTTGGTGGAAATAACGTTATATTCCATTGTTCCGGCTGAGCTTTGAGCTTAACTGCGTATAATAAGCTAATGTGGAAAACTTTGTGGTGAAAGGAAGAATTTTCTCACAGATATCGAAAAGAATAGCAATGAATGGAAGTTTAGAATGCCACATTCAAGTCTGAAATCCGCGCATTAAATATACGAATTAAGACGCTAAAAGCGTGAATAAGATATCGATGTTAAACAAATTTTCTAGCTTTTTTAACATTTAGGCTCTGTTTATATGGTTTCTGAGGGTTTTTAGGGGGCTGCCAGCTGCAAAAGCTGTCTTTTCACCAGTCTCTCTCGTGACAGCTAGGCAGGTTAGACGCTTCTTAAAGTCCGATTATAATAATGATGATGATTATTATTATCATTATCATAATTAATTTCATTAAAATTATTATAGTTATCATTATTATCATATTAGACAAAATTTGAGCCTTCCCGTCTCGGGCAGGCGAGCCGAAGTATTTATATGAGAAGTTGTCCCCCCTGACATGGCTACCCTTCTTGCCGAGGCAGGACA